TGCCTTTGACGAAACGGGAACACCGCATTGCACTTTCACGTAAACGATAGATATAGACGGGACATGCAACGAGAGGAATGCACACAAATGTACATGTGACAAAACTGGATATACGAACCTAACCCTAACGCCAGCGGAGACCCTTCGCGGTTGGACCCAAACATGCTATTACTACAAAGGAGCTACTAGCTCAGAAGACGCTGATGTAGTTGCCAATGCGCTCCTTTTGGTTCTGCGCAATGCACTCGGCTATCCAGGTGATGTTTCGGATCTCCTACAAGATATGTTAGCAACCATGATACACTTGACTATCACAACCTGCAACGTACCTGTTCTCGAAGCTTTACCCATGCGTACACAATGGCGTGAGTGAACTGGTGGGTGAAGGCGAGTTTTGAAATTTCCATCTCCTTTTGGTAGAACAGATCCTCCAGGCTTCTTGTTTCGCCACCAACACCACCTGCCATGTTGCCTACACCACCACCGTTCTGGCTGAGGCCAGTCTGGTCGAAGAACATCTTGTAGTCGGAAACACTCTCAACGGCTATGCGGACACCCTCCACGTCATCGGCTCTTGATAGCATCAATGTTCCTTCGGGGTAGAGCTTGCCGAGCTCAGGGTAGAGCTTCTTCCTCTCGTTCTTGGAGAGCTCGGTACCGAAGGAGTTGAGGGAAATATTGATACTTCTGCGGTCGGCCTCAAACTCCAGAACCTCGGACATTACATCGGAGGTCGGTGTACCGGCAATGTCGGGGCAAGAGTTGATCCACTGGTGAAAGTCCTCGAGGTAGTTCTTGTACAGAGTGTTGCGGATAATCTCAATGTTCAGTTCGTCCAAGTCCTGGTGGCTGAGCGAGCCCTTGAAGTATGGCGCAAGCGGCGTCTCGATGAGGACCGAGTTGTACAGCTCCTCAATGTTGGTGGCCACGCACAGCACGGGCATGGTCTCGAACCAGCCAAGCGGGTGGCACCTCTCAAGCAGCTCTCGGGTATCCCTCTCGTGCAGAGTGCCCGTAATCAGAAGCGCGACGTTGTCAATCATGTATCCGTAGGTCAGGTACTCCATGAACTTGGCCAGCGAGCCGGTCGCGTTGGCTTGGAGATATCGGAACTCGGCTACCAGCTTGTCCGTGGTCTTCGCGGCGAGAGCAGACGTCGAAGGATTTGGGGGCAACGAGTTGAGAAAGTCACCGTATGCGGGCGCAAGCTGGAGTTTGACATCTAAAGCATGGTCAGTCCGTGTGCAGATGCAGGCGCGATCGGATCTGATATACCATCGATGGTCTCGCACTGGGTCAGGTTGCTGTAGTTCTGGCTGGTGAGCAGCGCATTGCGGTAGCCGCGCACGATGCCCTCGATGTAGCTAGAGGAGTATGTTAGGAGAGGTATCATTTTGCAGATGCACGGAATGCGTACCCGTATTTGACGTTGTAGTAAAGACCCTCCATGTTGTGCTGATGATTTGCTGCTGGCGACAATCATTCATTCACTCACGAAGAGCTCCAGCTAGGGCGTCATGCCAAGCCTTGGCCCGTGTCGCGCCTGCCTCGACGACCGCCTGGGGTGTTTGCGCGCTAGCCTTAATCGCCGAAGTGGCAGTGACAACTTTCTTAAGTCCATCGTCACTTCCTCGCTCGCATCACTCACACCCAACACACTCAACGCGCCCCATCCCGCACCGCCCACAGCAGTTGCGTCGCCCATCTTAACATCTTCCAATATCAGCAATTGTATAGCAACTGCCCAGTAAGTGACTCCCCGCGCCTGCGCAACGCGCCTACTGACCTCGGCCTTAGACATGTCAGCTACCGCTACCCGGCGCTCAACGCGTCGCACAGCGGCAGCAGCAGCCTCGACTGAGGCCGCGCTGTCAGCCTCGGAACAGAGCTCGCAGCAGGGAACTCCTCCCCCAGAGGTTCCCAAGAAAAAGGCCCGAAAAACCAAGGCTACCTCCACCAAGGCTGAGCCGCAGGTCGTGATCGAGTCGCAGCAGACCGTCACCAAAACTCGCGCCTCGTCACGCGCAAACGCTACATCCACATCGGCCGCAACCACCGCCACGACCCAGACCTCGACCGTCACTGCACAAGCGCCTTCCACCGGGAGGAAGCTCACCAGGGCCGCCCGCGCCGCTCACGTAAAGGCAGGTGGACAGGCCTCACCACAGCGCAGCCTGGAGCAAGTTAGACCCGTGAAGCGTGCGCGCAGCACCGCTCCGACCAAGGAGGCCAGCGTGAAACGACAGGCGACATCCGCAAAGTCGACGCGAAAGAGCATCGTCAACGACCAGGAGAACGAGGACGACTTGGGCCCGTTCTTCACGGCCGGTAAGGATCATTTTTTCTCAGCCCCAGAACAACAGTCAGAAGTCACCAGCGAGTCACTCGAGGAAGAGAACGCCAAGCAGCGCAAGGAGATTGGTGAGCTCCGCGCCCGCATCACAGATCTGGAAGCCCTGAACCAGGATCTCGCGTATAAGCTCTATGAACGAGACCAGCAAATGCTCGCACTTGAGGGCAAGAACCTGTGTCTGCAAAATGAAAACTTCCGTCTGAAAAATGAGAACTCTCGTCTGACTCAACTCCCCAACGATAACTATCGTTCACCAGCTGACCAACACGATGCAGAATTCGACAGTGATATCTTTGATTCATCTGATCCTATCCCTCAACCCGTCTTCACCAATGGCAGTGAGTCCGCACTCGCACTTCTCCAGAAGATTGAGGAGTCCGCCAAGGAGACGATGCGCGGCGAGCCGGCGTCGAGTAGCAATGACACACACACTGACAAGAGTGTTGACGCTGTGCCTTCACAGCCCCAGTCCGTCAAGAGAACATTTAACGAAGCCACAGCTACTCCGGATCGTTCAGTTGAGAAGTCAAACATTTTCAGCCGGTCCTTCTCCGCCATAAAGTCAAGACTATTCTCATCAACCCCTAAGCCACCACCAACCCCTGAAGTCGCCTCGCCTACTCCAACAAGGCCTTTGCCACCCCAGGATTCACTGACGGAGACACTTTCACTCCCACCAACACCTGTTGGCGAGCGCGTCCAGACCCCAAGTAAGAAGCGCGCACCAAGCAACACCATGTTGAAGGTACTGCTCAAGGGTGTTGACCAAGAAGACAAGCGCAAGGCAGAAGATTGGGCTAGAAAGGTCATTCCTGAGCTAAGGAACGATAATGACTTCCGCGAGAAGCGTCGGCGACTTGAGACTCCCGTCTTGTGCAAGGATCTTGTCCACTTCCCCGCAGCCAAGCCCTGGGAGACTGGTTTCGGTGACCCACTTGGTGATCTGGATGACGATGATGTCGTTCCGGTTTGGGCTGTCTATCTTGAGATGAAGACTGAGGAGGAGGAGCACGCTGCAAAGAGGCAGAAGAAGGCTACTGTCAGCTCCGCAGAAGACGAGATCCCCACTATTGACGAGCAATTTGCGGCTAGCAGCAGCATGCGCACATCAAAGAAGCTCTACGACAGTCATGGCCAGTCTACATCTTTGTACGACTTGCATCCTCGTCGTTCGATCGATCCCTCTCCGATGTTCTCAAACTCTCTGTCACACAGCGAAGGCGGCAACATCTTTAGTGAACTTCAAGGACACGAGAACGCTGCCAGGATTCGTGAGAATGACCGTGAGATTCTCAAGAATGCAACCAAAGAGACGGTCGATACCCAAACGCAAAGCTCCGTTGGGCTGTCATTCAGCGTGCCCGACGACTCTGATGACGAAGACTCGGCCGCAGATGCTGAGACTTCGGAAACTGAGACTCCTGCAAGCGAAGCCAAGCCGATTTGGACCCAGCCCCCGCCCCCCGCGCCTGTTCCTGCCCATGCACCGCTGCCGGGAGGATCTCCAACCGAGCCGTCTCTCAGCCCTCCAAGCCAACAACCTGTAGATGAAGTCGCACGACAGCGCCAGCGTCTCATGAAGCACACGCCTGCCAAGCCTTCTCGCCTCCGTGAAGCAACATATCCTTCACCGAGTGTTTTCTCAGACGCTGGCAACGAGTCTCTTCTTGCTGCCACACCTGCTCCGGTTGCTGCTTCTGCACCTTCCATGTTTGACGACATGCCCGCAGCGCAGACCATTGAGCTTGACGCTGAAGAGAAGGCTGCTCTTGAGGAGCTCATCGACTCGGATGAATACAAGAAACAGCTTGCCGCCAACTGGCCCGCCGCCACCCTTACGTACGAATCGGATGAGGAGGAGCTCAGCCCCATCTCCACCTAAGTCCATATCATGCGTTTTGTTCTATCGTTCGCCCTTTCCCCACCCACGTCCCGAAATTGACCGACAAGGCATTGGACCGGATCCTCTGCCCCAAAAAGCATGTTTGTATATACTGCATAGTTTGCGTGTTTTGCATAGCCTGGGTCCGATTCGTTTTCGCTTGCTCATCTTGTTTTCGGCGTGCTCTTCTCATGTATTATATATCACGGACCCAGCTTGTTTCTTGTTTTTCACTCGGGCGTTTGTTACTAAGGGGACACATAAAAAGATGGATGATTCATGACTTGCAGTATACCCCCTCTTGTTTTTTATTTTCCCCGTCATCATCACCATCACCATTATCATCATTGCTCAATACACGACTACTATTCGTATGGGCTTTTTGTCGGGATCAGAGGGGCTTATGATGTAGTCTTGTTTTTTTACACGTTTCGCATTGTTTGGGGGGACTTTCTTGTCGTTGCACCTGCTCTTTTGGATTTTCTCGCACTTGCTCTTCTTGCTCTTTCTCGCGTGCTCTTTCCGGCGCCCTCCCAGCAATTGCATCGTGGTTTTTGGTTCCTGTTTTATACATTCAGGGGGGTCTTTCTTCTTTTACTTGCACCCTTTCTTCCCCCACTTGCCCTAATTACATACTTTGTACGGATCGGAATAAATACTTTACATTAACATTTTGTGCACTTTGCGTCTGTGACTATGACGAGAAAGAGAGAGAGAGAGGTTCTGTGAGAGACAATGGTTTTGTATACTAAACTACACAAATGATTACCCAGCCTGATACACCGGATTCTCAGTCTTGTAATATATCGCCTTGACCGGCTGCCCCAACGCCCGCTGACTCACTTTCTTTTGCGCAACAACTTGCTGCCGCCGCATCTTCTTGTCCAAACTCGCCAGACTAACAAGTTGCGCAGTCGATAACCCGGCTAAACTAAGTTCGGTATTGCGACCCGTTATCGGCGGTGCAGGTGTAGGCGGCAGAAGCGGACCTGAAGATATCTCAGACCGTGAAGACGAAACCGCCAGTAACGCTTGCTCTACACTTGACGGAGGCGTTGTACCGTCTTCTTCCTCTCGCTGTTGCAATGATCGCTGACGCGCTACACGCTTCCCACTCTTCTTTTTCTTCTTGCGCGTCTTGCCCACATCTTCTAATCGCCTTGATGTCTGCACATCTTCTTCTTCTGCCTCCTCACTTTCTTCGGTGGAAGACGACGACGACGCGAAAAACTCACCCCACAATCCCCCCTCAACTTTGCAATGACCCCTATCCCGCATATGGCTCTGCACACTCTTCACACTACCCTTTTCACGTGCGCAGTAGATGCATTCGTGGTAGGTGTGTATGAGGAGGGAGAGGTAGGAGAGGAGGGGTTCGATTGCGGCGGTGCTGGTGGATGAGGAAGAGGGGGAGGGGAGGAAGAAGGAGTGTGTGCTGGACATGTGGGATAGGTTTTCAGAGAGGGTGGGTGATGTGTGGGAGCAGAAGAGGCAGGTTGATAGGTCTGGCTTTGGTGTGGAATTCTGGGGATCTGGAGAGGAGGAGGTGTGGGTTGAGGATGAGCTGGATGATCCTGGTCTTGAATCTTGATGGCTTGGTTCGGGACTGGAGTCGGTTTGTCGGATCTTTTTCCTTTTGCTAGTGCCATTGTTGTCGTTTTCAAAATCTGCGAATTCGGATTCGGATAGCGCTGGTTGGCCTGATATTTTGCGTTGCAGGTTGTGGATACTAGGGAGTGTTCGTTAACTCTTCATTACTTTATTTGAATTTGTAGTGATATTTGCGCGAATATTCAACAGTTTAATGGAGAGGAAAATAAGGTGTACTTACTGCCATGTCCCCCTCATATGACTTCTCTGCAATGTACTACTCTGGAAAGAAAGTGAACAAGTATTACACGGAAACGCTGTCCGCGATCCATTTGCTTCAGCTCCTCCGGTGGCTCCAGTGGCTCCAGTGTCATGGACCATTTTCGTTGGTTGTCGGAACGTAAAGTATAAACTTGAAGTAAAGTAAAAAAGCCTTAGCTGTAAAGTCGTGTATATAAGACCTTGAGGCCGGAAGTGAGCTAAATCGATGATGTACATCCTGTTAAGGCACCAAGGCCATTATATACTCAAAATACCATACTATCAAAAGTATGGGAATGGGGGTGGTGCAATGTCACGTGACGGGACTTATGAGGCGCAGCCGTATGCAAGCCACAAAATGAGTCATTTTGAGTTCATGTGTATTCACCCACGCACATGGCGCCAAGCAAGCATCACACTGGATGCAGCATGAGTCTTTGGCGAGTTTAGTCTTGGACTTTGGATCTATCGGGTGGATGTTCGTAGATCGAGATCCAGACTGGGGAGAGGGAATGGAGCGCAAGGAGCGCCAATCGCACTATGTTGTTTTAGGAAAAGTACCTTTTTTTGACGTCTCCACAGGAGCAACGACACAAGCCTCGGCAGTGGATTCTCCAAGTCAATCACGTCAACCTCGCTACTTCGACCACCACGATGAAAACACAGAGACATTTTCAGTATTCATTTCATTATAGATATTGAGAATAAACGCCATACAAGACGGGCATAATATCATTCAAGACTCTTACCAAACAGAAACTAAATCCCTCTCTCGATAGGAGCCCTTCTCCTAACGATGCCCAAAACGCCTTTAGCACTAACTACTGTGATCCGTAGATTTACCCTATATTGATATCATGTCTGTATACCTTTACCGTGTGGCGCGGTGTTGTCGCAAACGCCATGAAAAGAAAGGTGAGTAGGTGGTCAATAGACGCCCTCTACAAGAAAAAGGTATCCGGAAGGGTGGAGAGAAGGGCGAAAGACACGACTGCGCCAGTGGCGCCAAGAAGAGGGTAGGCAGCCCTGTTAAGAACCTTACCAAGCACAGAGCGAGGTATTTTCTTTGGACGCTGAGCAATTTGAGCAGCTGTCTGAGCGGCCACGACCTCAGCAACTGGGTCTGAATCGATTAGGTTGCCTTCACTCTCATTAGAAGCAACTGAGACGACTTTCGGAACATCCTCTTGGGACACGGCAAGGTCCTCGTCAAGTACATAGGCTTTGCGCTTCATGTAGTTGACTGATTCTGGCGTGGGCGGATGTTCTTCGACAACCTCTTCGACAATCTCTTCAATAGAAACCTTTGTGCGGCGACCTGGCTGCAACGGCGTAAGGACCTCAACTTCTGAAACTGGGGCTGGTGGAGGTGTTTGGAGCCGGTGAGCTTGGGATGGCTCGCTGGGTTGAGGATAGAAAGACGTGGACGGTCGAGGATCAACAGATTCTTGTGTAGGAGGCTGTATAGGGTTGTACAGTAGAGCCGTGTGTTCATAGGTCATGGGCATATAATGGGCCGGCTGGTACCAGTCTTGAACTTCGTTCTGACAATAAGAGGAGGGATATGCCCAGGTACCCCAAGATGCAGGTTTAGATGCGGAGCGAGGTGGCAGAGGTGGGGCTGTCTCGCAACATGAAGGCGTGGAGTCGATTTTGGCAGCCTTTGCCATACCAGCTTTGGAGGACTCGCCGCATGTGTTTTCATGATCGTCAGAGCGTTGCAGCCCGAACATGTCGACACAAGGAAGTCGCAGTGGAGCGTCCTCTGCACCTTCAAAAGTGTAGATGCGTCGAAGGGGAGAATCAGCTGGATGTGTGTCGGCAGACTGTCCAGAGGCGGGTAGCGTGTCCCTGTTCGAGTACTGGACTCCATGGGTGGCTGAGGCTGCGGCAGGCTCAGAGTATTTGGTCTCGTTTATCTCACCTTCAAACTCAGAATCAACATCAGAGCTGTCAATGCTTTCAGACTTGCTGTCGAGGTCACTCTCCATAGGTCCACCGTCGTCTTCTACACTAGCAGGACTAGGAGTGTGAGGCAAGACTGAACCGTCATCATTTGACGCGTAATCAGCTTCATGTAAGTCTTCACCTTCCTTGTCCTCATCATAGACATCCTCGACGATCGTAGTACGCAATATGGACTCGGGGTATACATCTGGTCCAAAGCGGCTTGTCTTGGCTGGCTGCCCCTGCAGCAGCATGTCTTCCATGCCTATGGTAGCGTCTGCCTGATCTGCAGCCTCTTCGGAGTCGTCTTCGATGACAAGTGGATCGGCGTGGCTGCCACGGCGGGGAACTTGTTCCACTTCTGCCTCCTCGTCCTCGCTCTCGGCGTCGGGGACAGTGAAACCAAGGGAGAAAGGGCGAACGAGTTGGGACTCGAAGACGTATCTGCGGGCTGGAAAGAATTCTGCGTAATATGTCAGCCTCGGGTGAGGGGGCAAGGCTGGGTGAGGGGGCATTGCAGACGTACCCTCGTTACGATTAACGTCGGTGCCAAACTGGAGTTCGTCGCCGTACGAGAGCTTGGTAGGTGTGTTTGGTGTTAGTTTCTCGCCGTTGACCATAGTGCCGTGCATGGAGCCTAGATCGCTGATGTAGACTTCAGGTACGCCGGTGGTGGAGTTGGCGGAGAGGACGGCGTGTTGGCGAGAGATGACTGGGCTGTCGATATATGCATTGTGTAGTGCGGCCATCAGCTCTCTCTTGGTAACACTGTTCGAGGCACGGCCAATAGCAAATGTTGAGTCCAAAGGCAGGTCGAATTGGCGGGTCTCGTACGTGTCGTACCGCATTACGTCCCGGAGGACGACACGGAAGACTGGATGGTCGGTGAGTCGGGAGCCGTGCATGACGGGCGATGCAATGGAATGCTCACTGGATGTCATAGGGATAGGTATGTGTCGTGGAGAACGACCGGGCAGTTGGGAGAGTAGGGAGCAGTTGCAAGGGAGAGGGGAGTGAGAGTGGTAAGGCAGAGTAGGCGGGGGCGCAGTTTGGCGGGGAGGGGGTGCTTGGTAGTACCAGCGATCAAGTGATGGTTGCGACAACAATGTGTATTGATTAGGTTTCTGAGACAAAGAGAGTGTACGTTAAGAGGCTGTGTACGTGTAATATGGACAGCCGGCAAGTCGTCAATCGAGGCCGCCCTTTAGACACGACAAGGCGGGGCAAGGCAGTGAATAGACAAGGCAACGATGGGGTGGTGATGATGGACCAGGTCACTAGGTCACTAGGGGCCTTGTGGGGTGCTATCAGCTTATCAGCCTGCATTAGCTCTGCACGCCCGTCTTAGCGTGAATTTGCGTCCCCCACCCAAAATCTTCAGAGGCGCGCAACTGAGAAAGTACAACCAACGCCCGAGCCCTCTTGTCGCCCGGAACATGACTCACCCCGCCACGACTATGCAACAAGATCATTACGGCCTGCGATAGCACGACATATACCCATTGTGACCTGACCACCAACACCAGCCGCCACCATGGAGGCGCCGCGCACAACGGCCAAGCAGCAGGTCGTCGACCGCATCCCCGCGCGCATAAAGCACATCCAGTTTGGCATATAGTAGGCACCTCGGCCGTGGCAAATATGCTACAACAAAGCACCAGAAGAACTCCTAGTAACACTCTCTAGTTCCAACCAGGACATTGTCAACCAGGCCGTCCTCGAAGTATCCGACCGCAATGTCTACGATCTCCAGCCCGCCGCCGACAATACGCGCACCCTCACGGCCAACGGGCCCATGGACACGCGCATGGGCATATCCAGCAAGCAAGGAACCTGCGCAACATGTGGCGAGGGACTCGACACCTGCAATGGGCATTTTGGTCACATCAAGCTGGCGCTGCCCGCATTCCACGTTGGCTACTTGAAGCACATCATCGAGGTGCTCAACTGTATATGTAAAGACTGCTCCCGCGTCTTGCTAGACGAAGTTGAGCGCCGGAGATATCTGCGTAGCATGCGCCGCCCGGACATGGACACCCTACGAAAAGGCGCAGTGACTAAGAGGATTTTGGAAGACTGTCGCAAGAAGAAGACCTGTCCTTATTGTAACGGTCTCCAGGGCACCGTACGCAAGGTGCCTGGCCATCCGCTTAAGATTATCCACAACCGATACGATGCTTTCAATCGATCCACAGCCAAGACCAAGAAGGCGCCCCCGGGAAAGATTGAATTCGACCAGTCGTTCGAAACAGCAAAGTCTGCAAACCCGGATCTGGACAAGCACCTGAAAAAGGCCGTCGACGATATGCACCCGCTGCGCGTATTAAACCTCTTTAAGAAAATATCTCCCGAGGACTGCGAGCTGCTGGCCATGATACCCGAAGATGCGCGACCGGAGATGTTGATCTGGGAATACATGCCAGTGCCACCCGTGGCGTTGCGACCATCAGTCATGCAGGAAGGAGGTGCGACGGAGGATGATGTGACCAACAAGATTGGAGACATTTGCCACATCAGTAGTATAATACGGGCGGGGCTTGCACGGGGCTTCCCGCTCCAGATTCTAATGGAGCAGTGGGATTTCCTGCAGCTGCAGATTGCCATGTACATCAACAGCGATGCGCCAGGTCTTAAGCAACAGGGTCTGCAAAAAACTATGCGTGGTTTCTCCCAGCGTCTCAAGGGCAAAGGCGGTCGATTCCGACAAAATCTTTCAGGAAAACGTGTCGATTTCTCTGGTCGCACAGTTATTGGTCCAGATCCAAATCTGAGCATTGATGAAGTTGCCGTGCCAGAGCGTATAGCTAAGAACTTGACGTATCCTGAAAAGGTTACACGCTACAATATTGACAAGTTGAGGAGGCTTGTAAGGAACGGCTCCAACAAGTACCCCGGAGCCAACTACATTCTTGACGACCAGGGTCCGAACAAAGACAGAGGCAAAATTTCCCTTATTGCCCTTTCGCGATTCGATACTAAGGGTGAACGCCTCGAGGGCGCCTCGAAACGACTCAAAATTGGCGACATTGTTGAGCGCCATATCGAGGACGGCGACATCGTCCTCTTCAATCGACAGCCGTCTCTCCACAAGCTCAGTATTCTGAGTCATCGAGCAAAGGTGCGGCCATGGAGAACATTCCGACTGAACGAATGTGTGTGTAATCCTTACAATGCCGATTTCGACGGTGACGAGATGAACTTGCATGTTCCTCAAACCGAAGAAGCCCGAACAGAAGCTACCGAGCTCATGGGCGTCAAATACAATCTGGCCACCCCGAAAAACGGAACACCAATTATTGCCGCTATCCAGGATTTCATTACAGCTGCGTACCTTCTAAGCAACAAGAACAACTTTTTTGACCGGCGCACATTTTGTCAGATTGTAAATTACATGTTCAACGGCGAAGGAGCATTCGATCCGGACACTGGCAAGAGGCACCCGATTGAAATTCCACCCCCGGTCGTATGGAAGCCTCAAGCGCTCTGGACCGGAAAGCAGGTCTTCAATCTACTGATGCGCCCATACAAAGGATGCAGAGTCCTAGTCAACCTGGAAGCTGCTTGCAAGCAATTCAAAAACACCCCTGATCAGCCTCCCGACCTGAACGAGAACGATGCTTATCTTGTCATTCGAAACTCTGAGGTCATGTGTGGTGTTATGGACAAGGCAACTGTCGGTGACGGTAAGAAGGACTCTGTCTTTTACGTCATGATGCGAGATTTCGGTCCCGACCACGCTGTCCAAGGAATGAACCGGCTTTCCAAACTTTCTGCGCGATGGCTCAGCAACAATGGCTTCTCACTTGGAATCAGCGATGTGACTCCAGGAGAGAAGCTTAATAAGAAGAAGCAGGATCTCGTGCAAGAAGCATACGCCAAGTGTGACAAGCTGATCAAGGACTTTAAAGAAGGAAAGCTGCAGCGCGACCCAGGTTGTGACGAAGAGCAGACAATGGAGAACAGGATTGGTGGTATTCTGTCTGGTGTTCGTCAAGCTGCTGGTGACATTTGTTTCGAAGAGTTGAGCAGGTGGAACTCTCCCCTACTCATGGCAAAGTGCGGTTCAAAGGGATCCAACATCAACGTCTCCCAGATGGTTGCTTCTGTCGGACAACAGATGATTGGTGGTGCACGTGTGGCTGATGGCTTCCACCACCGAACGTTACCTCACTTCCCCAAGGCTGCACGTCAGCCAGCATCCAAGGGTTTCGTCAGTAACAGTTTCTTCTCCGGTCTCACCCCATCTGAGTTCATTTTCCACGCAATGAGTGGGCGTGAAGGTCTGGTCGATACTGCTGTCAAGACGGCCGAGACCGGCTACATGAGTAGACGATTGATGAAGTCTTTGGAAGATCTTTCCGCACAGTACGATGACACTGTCAGAAATTCGTCTGGTACTGTTGTGCAGTTCCAGTACGGTGATGACAACCTTGACCCCGTGGACATGGAGGGCAAGGCAAAGCCTGTGCATTTTGACCGAACCTTCTCACATGCTGTCACTTCTACTTGGGACAACTCAGAGTCCAGTCTAACGCCTCAGGAAGTCCGCGAGTACACCGAAGCGAGACTAAACGCCCAAAGGAACAAGTATCCTAGGTACGCACTGGACGGTGTGACGCAGCTAGAGTATCGCGACCAGACCGACAGGGGGATCGACCAAAAGGAGTCGATGCGTGACTTCCTTGACACGGTACAGGATTACGTCTTCAAGAAAGCTCAAAAGCTCGAAACGACACTTGCATACCTCGGCATTGTGCAGCCCGATGCCAGAAAGGACAAGAAACAGTCGGCAGCCGATGCGGAAAAGTACAGTCTTGCTGATGGTATCGCCAAGATCTCGGAAAGGGCCCTCGACACTTTTATCACCCTATGTTTGACAAAATATCATCGCTCCCGTGTTCAGCCCGGTCACGCTGTAGGAGCTATCGGAGCCCAGTCTATCGGTGAACCTGGTACGCAAATGACCCTCAAAACTTTCCATTTTGCTGGTGTCGCTGGTATGTCCATCACCCAAGGTGTACCCCGTATCAAGGAAATCATCAACGCCTCCTCCACCATCTCCACTCCTGTTATCGCTTGCGAGCTTTCCAACAAGATCTCCGAGTCCGCGGCGCGAATTGTTAAAGCACGTGTCGAAAAAACGTATCTCCGCGACGTCATCTCGTACGTCGAAGACGTTTGGCACCCCAACGGTGCCTACATTGCCATGCGCATTGACTGGGATACTATAAACAGGCTGTTTGTTGACGTACAACCCTACGAGATCGCCGCGGCCATCAATGCCCACAAGCCGCTCAAATGGGGCAAAGCCGGCGCAAACGTGCGCATCTCTTCCTCCATAATCCGAGTCGAAGTCCCCGACCCCAACGCCGCAAAGAAGCGACCCGTCAAAACAACACGCAACCACAAAGAATACTTTGAGCGCGTCCAACAAGTCAAGTCTCTCATTCCAGATGTCGTCATAAAAGGCTACCCCGACTGCTCCCGTGCCATCATCAAAAAAGAAAGCAGCCCGAACGCCCAAGGCCACTACGAATGTCAACTCCTCGTCGAAGGCTACGGCCTCCAAGACTGCATGACCACCCCTGGAATTGAACCATACAACACAAAATCCAACCACGTCATGGAAGTCAAGACCGTCCTCGGCATCGAAGCCGCCCGCGCCACCATCGTCCGCGAAATCGGCGATGTCATGGGCAACATGGACATCGATCCCCGTCACATGCAGCTCCTCGCCGACGTCATGACCTTCAAGGGTGAAGTCTTCGGCATCACGCGTTTTGGTCTCCAGAAAACGCGCGATTCGGTCCTCCAACTTGCCAGTTTCGAAAAGACGCCCGATCACCTTTTCGAAGCTGCGGCGCGTGGAAAGACGGATACGATTGATGGTGTTAGTGAGTGTATTATTATGGGCCAGAGTGTTAAGTTGGGAACTGGTGCGATGCAAGTTGTCAGGCCCCTGTTTTTGGGTAGTGAGATTGGGGAGAAGAGGACGATGTTTGAGGAGGGGTGGGAAGCTTTGTAAGAGGGGTGGCTGGGCTGCTGTGAGCCTTTGGAAAACAAAAAGAAAGAGATGATGGGGGGTTATGTATATATGCATGGGATTGGCGTACGCTTTTTCTTTTCTTGATGATGTGTATTTGATAGTGGATAGCATGTATAGCGAATAAGCATATGACTTTGTATCTCGCATTGGACCTGTAAACATCTTCTCTCGTCGATGAACTGGGGTTTCTTTGCAAAATTGATTTCGCATCAAGAGTTTTGATGCGCAGTAGGTATAATTAAACAGTCTTAAATACTCAGTGAGAGATCTTCCTACTAGAAGGTTCACCTCCAGGCGGCTCGAGCGTAGATTTTATGATGGTGTTTGTTGAAGGCTAGTGTCGAAGAGATGGGGATTGAAGATTGGATCAAGAAGGAGGAGGGTAGAGAGGTGTGGGAGAAGGGAAGATGAGTTGCTGAGGTAAGTGTAAGATTAGTATAATAGTGTTGGAAAGAGATGCGAGTTTTAGCGGAATATTTAGAAGCCCTAGTCTTCGTGTATAGTATTTTAGTATGTACGTCTCCTCAGAAGTGCAATGTAGTCCACTAGCGTGGGTCCTAGAAAGCGCTAGTGTGAAGCTTGTACCGTGATGGCGCGTGAGAGTACACTAGCAGCCTTTCCTATGTGTTCTAGGATTGTGTTTTCTTTTTTTAAGGGGGGGCTCGTTTTGTATTTTCATGCTGCAACATGCATCTTGGAAAAAATTTGTATGGCTATTTTAGTGATGGTAATGATACTGAGGCTGTTTGGTTTTGATATGTTAAGATGGAGACTGCTCGAATTTCTGTCGGAGTAAGTTGGCAGCAGTCACGTGTGTCGGCATGTCTCTTCATCTGGATTTCTGCTAGCGTTTTCTTGATACGTTCCTTTCTACTATACTTCTTTCTTATCTGACGTGGGATTTTCGGTCTATGTAGTGGTGTAGTCAAGAAGGACAGTTTCGTTTGCTGGTAATAGGTTGTTTCACAACAGAGATGAAGTGAAGTAGTGCGGATTAGCATGTGAATCGCCCTGGTTGTTTGCTAACCCTGTTGCTTTGAGTATATTCATTTTGAATGCAGCTGCTACTGACCAGAAACTAGTGAAAACGAAATAAACGAATCAGTTGGGGTCTACAAATCCGCAATGTCTACCTCTACATAATGATCTTGCCTATACTCAAACACCTTCCATTCATGCGGGGGGTGGCTTTTAGCCCCGGTCAGCTTGCACATGAGGCAAAAATCAAAATCGATGCATATGAGGCATGCGAAGCGGGGACCAAATATTTTCTCCGCCTTGTTAGCGTACGATGATGTTGGCAGTGTTTAAGGAATACTCACCAGAAAGCATTCATTGCAGGTTTTAATGCCACATTTTTTTGCTTTTTTGTTTGAAACGACGCCTTTGTCTGTATTCAGCACTTTTGGCGGTAAGTTTTGTGACAGTTGGTCCAGCTTCGTGTTGCGATGGTAAAGGCCAATAGAAGATGGAGTCCACAGGCCTGCAGGGTGCACAGTCTGGACGACTTCCTCGTTCGAATACATAGTCTTAAGAAGATTTATAACATCTTTGCTGGCAGTTCTATACGCCCAGTGCAGAGGGGACCAAGAACCGGACGACTTGGGGACAGTAAAACCGCGATCGAGGAGGTATTTGATCATCCGGCAAGAGTCTCCGCAGGCTGCGTGGTGCAAGACCGTGTTTCCTTTGATATCAACAGTGTTAATGTCTATGCCTTTTGAAAGTAGAAACTCAACAGATGCCAGGCTGCCACTTCGTGCAGCAAAATGGAGAGCGTTACGTCCCAACTTATCGGTCGAGTTGCTGCACGCAGCGTCGCGTTCAACTAAAAGACGCAGAATGTGTAGGTGGCCCCGGAAGGCTGCTGCAAAAGAAGGGAGGCCATATGGCACACTCTCTTGATTCGCATCAGCTCCACGATCGAGCAGCAGCTCCACAACATCCATATACCCTCCTCCGCAAGCCTGTTGAAGGGCGTTTCCATGAAATTTGTCATGCGCGTTAATGTCTACTCCCCTGTTAAGTAGTACCGCCACCGTCTTCTTAGCTCCAGCTTTTGCAGCCATGACCAGGGCGTGTTCGTCACTTATGAGCGACCCGGTGTTCATGGAAACTAACCACGCAACAATTTCAGCCCGTTTGTTGTCCGCTGCAGCCCGCAAAACCGTCCATCCAGAGTTAATACGGGCGTAAATATCTGCTCCAGCTTTTTGTAAAAGCTTCGTAGTCTCTAGATCTTTTATAGCTGCATAGTGGATTGGCGTCCATCCGTTTTCGTCAGTGGCATGGGGATCTGCCCCAAGCGACAACAGCCACTCCACAATCTCACGCTGGCCCTTGATTACAGCAATGCATAGTACAGTATAGCCTTGATTATTATAAGCATGTACATCTGCGCCGGCCTGGTACAGTAATTTTGCTGTTGCTAGATCTGCTGCAGCTGCCAAATGCAGTGGCGTCCATCCCTCTTTGTCAGCGACAGAGGGATCTGCCCCAAGTGATAGTAGCCACTCTACTATCTCGTACTGGCCGTTATTTGCAGCAATGTGTAGTGGAGTACAACCTTGATAAATACGATTACTTATATCTGCGCCGGCCTAGTACAGTAATTTTGCTGTTGCTAGATCTGCTGTAGCTGCTATATGCAGCGGCGTCTATCTATTTTTATTAGTAATAGAGGGATCTACCTTAAGTAATAGTAGCTACTCTACTATCTTGTACTAGCTGCGTATTATAGCTGCACGTAAGACACTATACTACGTATTATTAAGAGCGTATATATCTACGCCAGCCTAGTATAGCGCTTGCGCTATTGCTAGATGTCCTACTATAGCTGCGACATATAGCGGCGTCGCTCCTTCTTTGTCAGCGGTACAAGGATCCGCTCCAAGTGATAGCAGCCACTCCACAGTCTCATGCTGGCAGCCTGCTACAGCATCACTCAAGATGGCGTACTGACCGTCACAAAGACTGTGTATATCTGCGCCAGCCTGGTGCAATGTCTGTGTTATTGTCAGGTCTCTTCTGGCTGCACTGAAAATCGGTGTAAATCCATCTATATCAGCAGCACAAGCATCTGCGCCATTGGATAACAAGACCTCGATAACCTTGCTCTTGGATGCTTGTGCAGCCATATGCAAAGGTGTCATATTTTTCATGCACCTGGCATTGATCTCGACACCACTGGCAATAAGTAACTCTACCACATCGGTGCTGTCGTCATGTGGAGCCTTAGCTGTTATGTGGAGTGCGTTCTTGTACTCGTTGTCTCGTTTTTGAACCATAACGCCCCTCGCTAGCAGTTGCTTCATGATATCTGTATCGTCCAGTTCGGCCGCTATAAGAAAAGGTGTTCTGCCGAACTTGTCTTTTTCCTCGCAGTCAATTGATTCTACGCGTAGAAGAAGCTCGACAATTCTCGCACGGTTGTTTCGTACCGCCAATGCCAGCGGTGTTTGAAGATCGTCATCAGTCGCATTGACGTCAGTGCCAGACCCTTGAAGCAATTGCTGGACATGATGGACCATTCCAAGCATCGATGTCAGATGAAGTGCGGTTGTGAGCGTGTACTGTGGCGCAGTGTATCTTGCTTCCGGTGAAAACCAGCACCATTGGCGGTCTCTTAGCCTCAAATACCCCTCGCTGCAGAGCTGTCGAGTTTGCCTAGATACTCTGAGCTTACGGGAGTTGGAGAGGAACCTCATAGAGAGATTGTTCAAATCTTTGCTTACGGTTTCAGCCAAGTGGTCATGCCAGTATTCAGCTGCGTAAAGTAGCATTGGGCAATTCTCGTAAAGTGTTTTGGCAGCTGTGTAAGTCTCACAAGGTCCGCTCTCGAATTCGTCATACAGAAGAATCGTGAGGCAGGCTCTCGCTATGATGTCTTCCTCTCGTAGTATTTGCTTGATACTTGACTGGCTGAAATGGGCTAGGAGGTACTCCTGGGTTGAGAAATGCACCAGGCGAAAGTTTCTCTCGTCGTCAACAGATACAAGGCCCATGCATGCCGTCGTCATGATACCTTGTTTGGATTCTTTCTTAGGATTGCGGCCGCAGTCGCGGTCTCTCACTGCTACGGCATGAGCCAGCTCCTCGTAGGACAAAGGACGCCGGGCTCGAGACAGCCACCAGAGTATACGATACGAGAGATCGACCTTTTTTGGATGTTGATCCCTGATTCGTTCCAGAGTCTTTTCATACGAATGACTGAGGTCGACTGGCATCTGCTCAAGCAAATTTTCGATGTCGCTTTCGCACGTGCTGGAAGCAATGCTATTTAGCATCAGAGTTACTAGAACAAACCTAATTGTGTCAACGAGCCCACGAACTCCAGTCGCATTGCGATATTCTTACATCTCATTCGACCTTTCGATAATTTTCGATACAACTGTCTCTTCCAGCAATGGATTGTCCTCGAACAACTCTGCCAAACCCGCTTCCTCGCGGATTCTTTCAAGCACAAGTTTCTCAACATCATCGCGATGGGCAACAATGATCAACTCTGAGCATGATGGAAACTTCATCGAAACATCAGACAGGTGCGACCGGCCCGTGATAAAAAATCTCCATCTTGGATCGTCAAGACTTTCGAGCTGCTTCAAGAGAACTGTACGAAGCCTATCCGAGCATTCGTCCAGAGCGTCGATGGCAATAAATATCTGCTTGAAATGCTGAGATATCTGCCTGACAGTTTCTACCAGAGCATCAATTTCTGGTCTTTGGGCACCCATGTTACATGCGCGATACAGGCGACGCACTTCCTCGATACTTTCCTTCTCTTTACATATTGCAATCTGCTTGAGGACACTAGCAAACACATTCTCGAGAGTTTGTGCTTCTTTGTCGGCGTAGTCAAGGTAAATGTAAGCAACTCCAATATCCCGCTCCATGTGGTTAGCAAGGAGTTCGTCGATTACCGCTGACCTGCGAGACATCAATACTGTCCCTTCTTCTTGGCCCCAAATGTGAGTACATACGCTATAAAGGTCTTGCCAGCTCCAGGTTTCCCATGACACCAGAGTAGTTGTGTTGAACTAGTATCGCTGTACCATTCTTGGTATTTTTGTTTCTTTAAGAGCCATGCACCACTGCCCTTGACCCTTTCCCTTCTGGTTTTCTTGTGCTTTGAATCGTAAGAAGATGCGTAGAGCCAGCGAAGAACATCAATGGATGGAACTTCTCTTGCTATGTAGATAGGTTTCGTCAGATGAATTTCCATACGAGGCTGGTGAAGAATTACCTATTTGAACGATATTGGCATTGATGTTGCCAACTTGGACAATATTTCCATCCTGTGTCTGATTTGCACCTGAATGAGTAGAGCCGTTCTGGGCAGATACTGTTGCCCCTGAATGAACCGAATAAAAAGCATCTGATTGTCTGCCTTCGATTTTGATGGGACTGGAGCTAGTTTGTATGTCCAGTCGCTGCCATGAGTGACTAGAGCGCCGAATAGGGAGGTCCATCCGGGGCTAAGTTCATCTGAGGCCCCTCTTTATGCAACTTTGCATATACTAGACTCCAGCTCTGGCAGGGACAGCTCAATAATATGACGGGATAAGGCTGCGGTGCACTTGTTGGTAGAAGGAAAGCGCGCTTCCCACCTCTAGAGATTCATCTCGATGTGTGGACGCAATTCAGGGGCTGTACCTAAACGTGTATACCATGTAGAGATCCCACAGCATGGTCAGCTGCTTGGTAGAAGTGGCGTGTAGACCTTTGTCCTCGATAGAGGCTTCGCCAACATTTTCGGGGGCTGTGCTCGTCCACCGGAAGCTCGACACAAAGTCGGAACTCGCGCAATGCAGCAGCCTTACTAGGTGGATACTGGCATAGGTACTGCAACAGGGCGGCAAGGCGGCAAAGCCACAAGGTGATCCTGATTGGGCATGTCGATATGCACTTCAAACCAAACAATGGTTAGGTGCATATCCCATTTGAGTGCCATATGAGCATGAGGGGCGCTAGTAGATTCATCCATAAACTCCGCTTCCTGCATTCACTGGCATATGTGTAAGATATCTGTCTTTCTCATTATCGTGCGGTTGGTCCACTGTCCAATAGCTGTTATATATACTTAGCAATCTACGACGATACCCATCTGCGCCTTCATCCTACCCACTCTCGTCTTATCGTATTAACTTCACACACTGCATAACCCTACACCCATGTAAGTGTCGACCCAATCGATGGGAGGCCACAGCAGGCTGAACTCGGTGGCGCTAGATCCCTGATCGTTGAGCAGGCGCCAATACAATCCTGGCAATGGGGCCAAAATGAAGCACAGCTACAATTGGTTTCTTGATCTAAACGAACAACTATAAGCTTGCCTTTTATGGGCGGAGGTTTTAACTAACAAATCCCAATTATTCCAACTAATCTAGTCTGTCAGTATCACTGCTATGAGTTCATATGAAGGGACAAATAGGCGAAAGCTGTTGGATGCATCCGATTACCACGTCGCGTGGATCTGTCCGTTACCTGACGTCGAGCTACCTTCCTCAAGATTGATGTTCGACGAAGTCCATCCTACGCCGGAATATGACGCTCATCAAGATTCTAATCAGTATTACTGTGGCGTTGTTGCGGGCCACAATGTCGTTATGGCAACCCTACCTCTTGGATACTCCGGCTACCACCATGCTGGCCGTTTGAGCAGCGCTCTGCTCAACACATTCTCCAACGTCAGAATAGTCCTTATCGTTGGGATAGGTGGTGGTGTCCCATTACCGAAGCCATGCCAAAATCCCCTGGAGGATGTTCACCTTGGGGACGTCGTTGTAGGATGGTCTCGAGATGGAAAAGCTGCTTGTATTCACTATGGGTGGAACAAGGATAAAGGCGACGCGGGTATTGAGATTCTCGGAACAATGGAGAAAGGGGATTGGGTTATCGGACAAGGTCTCGCGAAACTGGTATCCGACCATGGGTTTGGCGAGACAAACTTCCAGGATCACTTGAAGCTACTGCAAAACGACCCAAAGTTCGCTCATCCAGGTCTTGAGCACGATAGGTTGTTTCACCCTACTTACAAGCACCGGGGCGATCAGGACTCTGGCTGCCAGACTTGTATTCGTAACCCATTTGCATTAGTCCAAAGGCCCCCACGTACCAGCAAGCATACGGAAAGATTCATTTTTCATCAGGGGAAAATAGCAAGTGGTAACTCTGTCATAAAAGATGGAGAGCGCAGAGAAAAGATTAGTAATGTCTGTGGGGGCGTGCTTTGTGTCGAGATGGAAGCAGTGGGCGTTGACGTTAGCAGCAAATATCTCGTTATACGAGGCATCTCTGATTATTCAGATTCACATAAGAACGATCTCTGGAAACTTTACGCTGCCGGCAACGCAGCAGTATTCTCAAAAGAGTTGTTAAGCAAGATCAAGCCGATAGCCCTCCAGCATAGGATGGCAAACTACCGAGGTTAGTATCCTGCTTCCCAGATATCTATCGGCTAACTAAAAACAACAGCTTCAAGTCCAGTTCCGCAATCCGCATGGGAGCAACAACAAGGCTTGTTATCGCAGGGAGGTTCCGTTTTCTCTGGTTCCAACCAGACAATAAACGGGAAGATTACGAGTCTTGGGAACCTCAATATGAGGGATGGAAATGTATCTTTCTGACAATATCATCTCCTTCATTGTCTTCATATTTTGTTCGTAATAATATGTAAGTAGTCAGGCTTTAGTCATATGTATATTTCATCAAGGTCTGCGCTTGCAGACATCTGTAGCAATTGCTTAGCTAGTGGAGCTACTGGCACAATGTTATGATATTCAAAATTCCCTACACATGGTCAAAATCGGGTAGACTCCCGATGGTGTAAGTCCTGGGCTTCACCAATCCGCATCCCATACGGGAGATTTTTGTGATAGCATAAAAATGCAAGTAAAATATCCGAGTTCTCACTCGAAGCATCGCACATGATGAGGGCGTAACGTGGACATCATACATATTGCTCCCTCTGATCTCGCCGGTTTCGATTGTGTAACCTTGCGCTTGTGCCAGGCTCGTGTCAGGACGGAATAACACGAGCAGGCGAAATCGAACCAATGGATCGACAAAGATATGCTCTTCAACTCTTGATGTCTCTCACGCTGATCATCACACTAGTCGTGCCGTCTATAAGTATCGTCAATCAGTTCTGTGCTACTGACAGCTCAGCCCTCTCGCCTCGATGTGGTTAACTCGGGCCGCAATTTTTCAGGTCATATGTCGGCCTCCGTCATGTTTCTAGGACCCAATACACCCATTTTTATGTGTCGTAGAGATTCGGTGTGGCAACGTCTTTCGTATACTTACAGCCGTTTTGTTCGTCACTAGTCTTTTCTTAGCACTAAAAAGATGTTTCGGGAAGAGCTATGGCTTCTTCCAATTTTATATACGAACATTCTAGCTAGTCAATTGGTTAAGCACCACGCTAAGTGGCCCTGCCGCGCCGGGATAGAACGGACTCAAGAACCTTGTAGCTTGCATCTTAATCTCGATATTTGTCCGTGCATAGGAATTTGCGACGAACTAATAATGCGGTGGAGTACCATCGCTCCATCCCTGAATGCCATATTAAAGACGATGGTACTGCTTTAGTTCAGATACTATCAACCTTCATAATGTATACTTCACGCTCATTGTTTTCAACTTTAGCAAGTTGCCTTTCGCTAGCAACGCTCGTTGCATCGTCTCCCACCACTAACCAGAATTTGCCAAGCTCGAAGCGCGATGCGACGGTTGAACAGAACGTGTTCTTCGACATCAATGGCAAAGAAGTAGAGACCAGAATTGCAAAACTGAAGGCCGAGGGTTACCGACCAACTTCCCTAAATATCCATGGGACGCCTACCGATGCAAAATACGCCGGCATCTGGATAAAGCAAGATGGCAATCCCTACGAGACAATTGTAGGTGCCAATAAAACCACCTATGATGCTTGGCTCGATCAGTGGAAAGCCAGTGGCTACGTTTCGACGCAAGTCTCTGCCACCGGGCCCGCCTCCAATGCTGTGTTTGCAGGTGTGATGGAGAAAATACCCTCGATTCGCAACTGGACTCAGATATGTGGCACGAGCAGCCCTTATGCGTACTTGAATGCGACAGGGGATGCCCCGATAGTGATTACAGGTGTGAGCTTGTACGGCACTCCAACCGAACGCCAATACTGTGTCCTCGGACACGAGGACACAGACAACCATCAACAGACTGTGTGGTTCCCGACTACCTCTTCGCAGGATTACAAGACGATAGAACCCGCTGAGACTACCAAAAGATTCTGGAGACCGGTCTTCATCGACAGCTCGGAAGACAAGCTCCTTGCATCTATTTTTGATGATACGAGTGTTGGAAATTGGACCGTCCGTACCGACCTCACCGCATCGCAGTTGCAATCAGAGATTACCGCTCAAAAGGCGAATAACATGCATCCTATTCACATCTCCGGTGCAGGATCCACAGAGACACAATACGTTGTGATTTTTACCGAGCAAGCCACCCCGCTGGAACGCAATTGGCGCGCTGTAGGCGATATCACTGGCTTCCCGGACAATGCTGGAGTGAAGAGAGATTTGGATGAAATACTTCAAAAGTTTATGAAGCGTAACAGTGTCCGACAAGCCCAAGTCTCCGCCTCAATCAACGGAACTGTCATCGCTTCGCGCGCCTACACATGGGCCGAGAGCAACCGCGCCATTGTCGAACCATCCGACAAGTTCCTTCTCGGAAGTGTTTCTAAAGCATTCACATACGCGGCAGTGGACCACCTCGTCTCCACTGGCGTGGTCAACCTTACAGATCACATCTACCCGCTCCTTGGCTATACTAAGCCCGCAGACCCTCGCTCGCTAAACATCACCATACAACACCTGCTCGACCATACGGGTGGATTCGACCGTGGAATGTCACCCGACATTGGCTTCATCTTCACGACCGTCGCTCAATCGCTCAACCAATCTACTCCCGCCACACTACGTCAACTCATCGAGTACGTCCTTGCCAAACCGCTCGACTTCGAACCCGGCACGAGAAGTGTGTACTCAAACTACGGAACCCTGCTCCTCGGCTACCTAATTGCCAACAAAACCGGCGAGACATACATGTCCTACCTTGAGAAAAACGTCCTTAAGGGTCTCGACGTGGAAATGTACACTACACCCGGGGCAGACCACACCAACGATCGCATTGTCCAGGAAACAAAGTTTACCAGCATTTCCGCTTTGACGCCACTGTCGGAAAAGAGAGTAGCCAATGTCTATGGCGGCGATGGCGCAGTCAAGGAAGCGGCGGTCTCTTCGTTTGCGCTAAAGGCTTCCGCGGATACGGTATCGCGGTTCATTGGCAAGCATGCGGCGTACGGACTCGGTCCCCGACAGCTATTTATGTACCGTGACGGTACGGTCGCGGGTGCGCGCGCATTGGCGTATAGTATGGCCAAACTGGATTGGGCGATAACGTTGAATACAAGGGAGTATCTGGATGAAAATGCATGGAATACGTTGGTGTTTACCGATTTGTATCAGCTTTGGGGTGCCCTCGATTCGGCGCTTCCCTTATAAGAGTGTTGAGCGGTCTTGCGTCTTTAATGTAATTCACCAGTGTGCTTCTGTGTACTATTGGTCTTCTTCGTTGTAAATTCCTTTAGACTATATATATTCACATCGCATAGAATCCACGTACTTTTTTGACATTTTTCGTATCTTCGGTGAGACGATTCAATAACTTGGTAAGGTGCAGTATTAGCATGAGTCTGAATATCGCTATCGTTTCTCTATTGAGCCTTTACTACAAGAAAGGCGTGGTTCTCGACAAAAGGATATATTAGACTTCCAGCTTTAGGGCATCGGTGCAATTAAATTATCGCTTCGATATCGCAAGTATAATTCCTGCAACCTTCCTATATGTGTATCCCATGAGGAAGACTACTAGTGCGAAGAATCTCCCGTCAGCTCTTTTTCGAAAATTGAAACCTTACTCAAACCCAAACACTGAGAAGCCCGTGATGAAGAATGCTGAAATGGTAATCGACCACGCATTGCATTTTCATCGGATTATCCTATCATCTCTTCCCCCCGACTGTATGACTCTAAGGTCCTTCATTATCGGCCGCGAAGACTTGACCTGATCCTAATCTCAAGACGTTTTACTGACCCAACCTATGTAAACGTATGCTTGGAGATGGTTCCAGAGAGCGATTGCTTGTTGAACCACCTTTGGTCGTAGATGTTGAGACCGCGGTAGCCGAGGGTGATTTATAATCTTGCATTTCAGAAATAGGGGGCAGTTTTGTATGAATTGATCCGAGTTAGGAATACGAAGAGAGGTTGAGCATAGAGGATGGGCCCTGATCCAATGGATGAGGTGAATAGTCTTTGGGCCAGGGAAGGGAGGTGCTATCGAATGAGTGCTTCCCGAGATGTGTTAATTCCCCATCCTGTACCAATGTAGACTGAGGGATTCTGCGGTCCCATTGTGAGGAGTCGAAGAAATCAACATCGTCAAAATTAAGCAATGGGGTATTTGAACGAGACAAAGTACGAGGATCATGACTTGAGCTGGGGTTCGCATTCCCGTCCAAGTCGACTGATTGATGAGGCTGTCTTTTTAGATAATAATCGGACGAGTCAGGCGACTGTTCTCTGAGAAGATGGGAAGGCCGAGACTTTTCAGAGCCGTCCTGCACCTGATCACATGCGGCTTCATTTGGAGCGTGGAAATCCTGTGAACCTCCTCGTATAAGGGTGTCAAAATTAGCCCAATCATACTCAAGATCTTCTTTATAGAAGGAATGTTCTTCTCCGTCAATGTTGATATCGGGCAGGCTGAGCAGATCCCTGCCTAGAACTACTTCATCTTCTCCAGAGAGGTCCTGTGGCAACTCTTTCGATATGCTTGCGTCTACTCCTTCCGTCATTCCATCAACGCTGCCCTTACAATAGAGCACTCTGGCATGTTTTTGGAAGCGGTAAAAGATAGGATCAACGCCTTGATCTAAGAGTTGCTGTTTCTGAGCTTCAGGCCAACTCAGAACATCGTTTTTGAACTTCTGGTGAGTTTCTTTTGAGCAAGTTCGCATCAAGCTTATCGCCATGTTTTGCATTGCCTTCTTTCTTTCTTGCTGTCGCTGTTCAAGTTGTTGACGTCGTTGTTCGTTTTGTTGTTTATGTTGTTGTAGTAGTAGTTGTTGTTGTCGTTGAGATTCATAAAACCTCTGTTGAGTTTGTTGTAGGGTCAGCTGCTGGTGATATATATCAACGTCTTGAAAATCTCGAATACTGTTGAATGGCGACCCGTCGTTATATTTACCTGGCTGAGATGAAAATCGCGGTTCCACGAATTGCTGTCGCTGCCGAGGTTCAGGAAACTGCCCCAAAAGTCTATTTTCTGAAAAAACCCGATCGAATAAAGTCGGAGTGAATGTCTCTTCACTATTTATCGACTTCAACTTTGAATTGCGTACTTTCGCAGGTATGAGCTGGATACTGGGCTGACCATGATGTTTGCGCGTGTGCGCATTAAGTGCGGTTCTCTTTGCAAATCCGATACGGCTATACTGACAGGATGCTGTCTGGCAATACACGCGTTGAATATGGATAGCCTCATGTTCGTACCGGAGTTTTGTAGTAGGAAAGCCCAGGGAAAGCCTATCACAATGTGGAAAGCGGCAAAAAAGGCGGTTGAAGCATATGACTCTTGGAATGCCCGGAGCAGGGCCGGCGAGATGCCTTCAACTTCATGTTGCGCCAAAAGATGCACGATTGCACTTTCGTATTTTTGAGAAAGCTGACTAAAGAGCGTTTGGTCGTTATTGATGAAGTACGTCTCGATGTCTGAGAATTGCATTATGAGCTGATGGGCAGCTTCGTGATGGGGTACTGTACTGGGTCTGGACTTACATGAGCTGCTATCGCCATCTAGTTTACTGGCTAATAGTCTGGTATGTAGTATATCTGCCATCAATTGATAGATCTCCATGCCAGAAAAAGCTGGAGTCGCTCATCCGGGTTGCTATCGTTGGTTTTGTCCCTCGCCTCAACCTGATTTACTGTACGCCCAAGTGCATGCCAGCAGTTCTGATGTGTCTCATGCATTTGTGTCAGAAGATCCTGAAATTGCTGTTCCATACCGAGTCTGCCTCTCCCCGATGCATATTGCGAACAATGTTCGATCCAAAACTCTATCGCGTACGGTAGAAGCCTGTAGTTACCACTCGCTACTTGAGCAAGGTGTTCAAGTGAGTTGCTTCCAAACCGCAAGAGATTGAGACCGCGGGTAATGATAATGGCGCAAGCAGATGAAATATCTAGGGCGGCGCTGATTGCTAGGACAATCTGCGGTGTTTGAGACCTAATGAAGTACCTTTTGAGCGTTAGACACTATGCATTCAACTCATCGAGAAACTCACTCTTTTACCGAAAAGTGAACTGGTACTATCGTCGAGTCCGGCAGTTCTTCTATGAACGGTTTGCAGTGATCAAGTATAGAAGTGACAGGGATACTCTGGACTTGAGAGCTGGAGTTGTATGGAAAAAATCGACAGTGCGTGCAGTAGCTCTGACTTATGCAAAGGCCTCCGGGCAAAGCATATCCAGCTCATGACACCTGGCACGCCTCCGTAATTACGCGCACCTGGAGCGCCGCAGAGACGAATGAAAATTTGATCATAGAGATTTTCGAGATCAGAGGGAAGATCATCAACGATTTTACGCAGCTCTTCGGGGCTGTAAACTGTATCAAGTGATTTCAGTACGAGGCTTACCCACAGGAACATACCTGTGCAAGTGTTAGAAGGTAAGACGTTAATTAGCAGACTAGGCAGGAATTACCATGCGACTTCTTACGTAGAGTTTCTTTGACATGAACTAGGATAGATGCATCGGGATCGAGCTCATCGAAATGATCAGGAAGATCAGAAAGCTTGCTGTCAACGAAATTGGCAATCGCGCGGGTAACCGCAAAGCTTTCGTTGGTGTTACTGAGAGAGATTTTTGTTACCATTTTTTCCTTTTTGCGCAAAGATCGTGAAATATCCATCGTCTCTCGGCTGGCAATCATAATCTTGCAGCTGTGAGTAGAATGAGCAGGAGATACCAGTTCGACAAGATCTTTGAGAAGCTTTTTTTGATCTCGTGAACTCCATTCGTCAACACCATCTATAACAAGTCTCACAGAGCCCAACCCTTGGAGAAGTTCAGGGAGAAGACCCAGTAATGCCTTCTTTGTTGGCATTAGGTGGGAAGTGAAGTAGAGGTCATGAACGTAGATTGCAAGATCCTGATGCTTCTGGATGACCTGCGAGATGATGGATCGCAGCAGCCGGCTTGGACTATCGGAATGGCTTCCAAAGAAACTACAAAAGTAGTAGAAAACGTGAACTGCATTTGCCTCTGCATGTTGCACAACACTAGAGCATATCATGGATTTTCCTTCAAATAGTTATACAAGTGATTAGCAGTGATGGTCGTATGAACATACCTGCTCCCGGCTTCCCGCAAAGCCATAGTAGAGGATTCTTTGCGCTATCTCCCAGCCATAGTTGGGTTTCTTTGTGCTGTACAAACCACTCGCAGCTTCCCGGTAAGTAATCTCCCATATACCGTTCGAGTATGTCAGCTTGGAGTGTTTCATTTGTTCCAAGCCAAGCTAGGACTTTCTGGATTTTGGCCTGGAGTTGGCGTGCTATATCAGCCCGTGTCTCTCATACATCCATAGAGTTGGTGTATACTCACAGCGTTCCATTCACGGTATTGCTGCTCCCACTTCTCGTCGTCAGCCTTGCTACGTCGAACAGCTTCAGAGATTTCCGCCGCAGCAGCTTCTTTCTCAACCAGTCCTCCATGGTATGTTAAGTTTTTCAATATCCCGTTGAATCGGGATTCAAACCCATCCCACATTGACCTAAAGAAGATAGCCCATGCTGCAAGTCATTAACACAGCACAATGTGGAATAACCGGAAAACCTACATTTTCTTCGCACAAACTTGTAGGCTCGCCGATGAAATTCTACAATAGCGGAGTAGACCAAAGCCAAGACATTCTGAAAGTTGTGGTCGTCGGCAAGCGCATGATTGAGTCGGTCAAGGCGAGGAAACATGTCGGCGATCTTGCCCTATGCTTCTATCAGCTTTTCGAAAGCACTAATGGAATCGACCGCGATCTGTTGATGTACAATAAGCAATACGAACTGAACGAAGACCTGAGACTCATCCTACAGTGAGCATGAGTTTAACTGGCGCCCAGATCCAGGCAAGATAAGGTGTGCCATTGCACAGCACCTCAACGACCTTGGAGTAATGCTCCATCCCTTGTAGGAATGGGTCAAGCCGAACCATATTCTTCTGCATGCGACGAGCACGGAGCTGCCGCTCGATACACATGGCTTCTTCCTGGACATCTTTGAGCTGAGTGTTATGGAAAGTTCGCCTGTCTTCTGGCGTAACGGTGGACGCAAACCGCTCGAAGGCATCTTGTAGCGTAAGGGTGGCCTGGGCCGAAGGAGCCGCCATCGGGCCGTGCGAACAAGCCGTTGATGTGCGATGAAGCCCGGGATAGACTGCTTACTTCTTCAACACAAACAATATAAGGGTTCGAGGAGGAGTTGAGTAAAGGTGGCGAGCAGTACACTCGAAGCTGGCAAGGCATCTGTAGAGTAGCCTTGCAGGTCGCAGTCATGCTCAGCCCCGGTGGTTGTGTTAATGCATCTATGCAGCTACTACACTAGATACAGGCCAGCTCCCGCAGCTCTCAGACCTCTACCATGACGACTCGCAAGACATCGCTTTTTGCACTCGTAGTCGGCCGACAGCATGCTGTCTTGTCTTCCTGGTATCGTCGTCGATGATGTCGCTCCCCCGGCTGCGAAACGGCGGCGCCTAAATACTACCCCTCATGCAGGACGCATCGCAATTGAGCACCTCTGCAATGGATCCGAGTATGCACACTCAGCACACACAACACCAGCACCATCCCCTATTTGCGCTGCTGTAGAGGAGGTATACGAAACCACCTTGATTTGCTATGGCATGGTTTGTCGCCTTCAACTTAGCTTCGTCACTATCTTACATTTTGTCTAGATATCGGATTTGACAGTAAACGTTCCCCTGCACCACCTCACCTCCAATGTCTCGACCCAACACCCGATACACTTTGAACCTCCTCGCACACTTAGGTGTCGCGTTGCCAATGCGCCCATCGGACGACTAGACGACTTTGCGGGCGAGTTGCTACTGAGGCTGGTTGACGACGACGACCTCATCCTACAATTTCTACTCTCGTCGACTCCAATCACTCCCGCAGCCGAGAGGAAGTCAGCCAAAAACGGTTCAAAATTTCTTGGAGTCATCATATATGGGCCAAGATACCGCCTCAATGACGTTGGCGATTTTATGACCCAGGCTGGCTGCTACTTGGATGATCCTGTTGGTTGTGATCGCAACGTCCCATACATGAACCCTCAATGTCTATTCAGCCTTCACGAACAACCACCAATGACGTTTGAGCTACTGCAGCCTCAGCAGCCACATATTCACGATTACTCAAGAGCTTCTCTTGATGTTTTATCTGGCTTCGAGACTACCGATGATCTCGAGTTATCGACTACCCCAGCAGCTCTGCGCACTAAATTGAAATCGTAAGTAATCCGCCTTGAGACGAGCGAGCATGTTCATAATGGAGTCACAGACATCAGAGACAAGCTTTGACTTTCTTCTTGAGGCGCGAACAAGGGTTGCATCCGAACGAGGATGGTTTCGGTATATGGTTGCGGAAATGGAATGAAGGGAAGTCTATGTGTGTATTGCTGAGATATCCCTCCAAGTTTCAACGCTAAAACTTGACGTACAATAGTTTCGTGAACACCATGACAGATGAGGCACAATTTGCTCCAGGCCCTATGTGGCGCGGTGGATTGCTTGCTGATGAGATGGGTCTTGGGAAGACGCTAAGCATGATTGCTTTGGTTGCTGCGGACCAAGATAACACTTTGAACGATAAGTCATTCACGGGCCACCCTATATACGGCGCTTCTATAAGCTCAACTCTTATAGTAGTGCCGCTGAGCTGTAAGTGAGTGTACATATTACGGCTTTTATACATGCTCAACCATTTTGCAGTGTTCAGTGTCTGGGAATCGCAGTTGAGAAGGTATGTTGTGACGACTACAAGAAGGATTGCGCTTGCTGATCATGTTACATAGTCATGTGCACGACGGCAGATTGACATGGTTCATGCACCATGGAAAACAGAGATTTAACTCGAAGAGCAAGGAAGTACTGCCCGGTACGTTTCATTGATTCAGAAACTGCAAACAATTCTGACGCCGACTCTTAACTGGTCAATTAGACATAGTTTTTACCACTTATCAGACAATTGAGAGAGAGCATCGTAATTGTGCTCAAGGTAGCAGCTCTTTGTTCTCTCACCATTGGAGACGCATTATCCTCGACGAAGGTAGGTTCGAAAGAACGCCACAGCCTGCAGCCCAATACTAATTGGTGTTTTCTTTAGCGCACACTATACGCAACCACAATACCTCGACTGCGCAAGCAATAACCGTACTGCAGGCAACTTCTAGATGGGCAGTATCGGGAACCCCGATTCAGAATAGCCTGCTCGACTTCTATGGCCTGTTCAAATTTCTTCACTTCTCCCCATACGACGACCCAGGAGTTTTCGACGACGACGTCACGAACTTATGGCGCGTCAAGCCCGCCGAGGAAGCCGCTGAGGCTTTTAAAAAGTTACTCTCGTGCATCATGATACGCCGAACAAAAGCTATCTTGGATCTGCCCATCAGAGATGACAAACTGATCCGTGTGCCATTTAGTCATGAGGAAGAGAAATATTACCGCCAAATCGAGCGACCCGTCGTTGATATGCTGGATCGTGCCACAGAAAGTGGCTGCCAAACCAACGTACCCTGGATGACTGCTATACAACAAATCAACAAACTTCGTCTTGTTTGCAACCTGGGAATTTCTACTCCGTCACAATCTCGTCACTTGCCACAATCGGGCAGTATCGATGAGAGAACGGCTTTGATGAACGCGCGATATTCCATGGGTGGAGAACTATGCGCACAGTGCTTACAGCCAGTTGAAGCATCCGCGTCTGGGGATGGACTCCGGGATGCTACACAACCACAGGTTTATCTTTCAGCTTGCAGCATATTTTACTGCGCTGATTGCTCTGTACTACTCCGATACCAATCACCTGATCCATGCGAGTGTATAAAGCAACTGCGACCCTGTCAAATTCGTCCATTGGCATCCTTCTTGCCTACCCCTAGACTTACACCAGTTGGCGATCTTTCTCCCTCACCAATGGAGTGGGACCACAGCAACGATATTTCAAGTAAAGTATGGACACTTGTATCGCAGATTAAGTCTTGTCCAAACGAAAAACAGTAAGCCGATCAGGAGCTATGGCATATCTCAAGCTGACCCACTGTTAGTGTTGTGTTCTCGTCGTGGACATCAAGTCTCGATATGGTGGAGAGGGCGCTTCGGTGTGACCCAAACCATATTATTGAATCAGTCCGAATCGACGGCAAAGTGCAGCTGAAGAACCGCAGCAATGCCATACAGCAGCTCCATCGCAATCCTCGGATACGCGTCATACTAGTCACGATTGGTTGTGGTGCATGTGGGTATGTTCATGTAGACAATATCCACTAAATCATTCGGTTTTTTAACAACTATCTCAGTTTGGACCTAACAGCCGCTTCGAGGGCACACCTTCTCGAGCCGCAATGGAACCCATCTCTCGAAGATCAAGCACTTGCTCGAATCCATCGATTAGGGCAGACCCGTCCTGTGATAACCATACGCTATGTCATGGAAGACTCGTTTGAAGAGGTATTTGAAAGTGAACAGCTACTTTTCATTGCTATAGGCTGACATATTCATCAATAGCACATTCTCAAAGTCCAAGATCGCAAGAAGCTGCTCGCCACCACTCTATTGTCAAATGGCTCTTCCCTCGAGGTAAGCAATGAACATACCAGCATAGACGAATTAGCAAAAGGATACTAAGGATACCCTTCTAGAATCTGCGCCAATTACTTCACGAAAGAAAGGAAGGCCAATTGTCTTGATGAGTAACAAGGTCATAAAAATACTGAATCCAACACATTCTTCAAACCCCTTGCTCATCATCCACGTGACCGTACCGAAAACCTTGACCCAAGTTCCTCCATGCCGACAACCCAATGATTTCTCCTAACTAATCTTCAATCAAATCTGGGGAACGAGATACATCAAATAATCTCATCCCATCCAGCCGCTCAAGATAAAGAAAAGATGTCTCCCGGAGCCACCAAACCCCCTACAAACCATGATACCAAAAAAAAATGTTTGAAACCGAAACATACATCCTCTGTTCTACATCCTCAGTACAAAGCCCAACAAACACTAACAACAGCCATAATCGTACACAAGAAAAAAGGTTTACCACAAGGAAACAAGCCAGCAACAACCCCAGCTCAACCCACCCAGCCACCCATCATCCGTCAAACCCCCCTCCCCACAACCACCAGACCCACCATAATACCATCCCTTCCCTCCCCTGCGCCCCCCAGAAAAAGCAACACCAAAAGTGACACAACCACCTCTTCTGCTCCGCGGAGCCTAAAAATTCCTCAGCCCTACACACCCGCACACACGCATAATCCCTGTCCACACAAGACTAAACTAGGCTAGAATCTTCCGGGGGGGCGAGAAAACGGATAAACGGCCCCCTGCGAACATGTGCAGGACCCTGCTTCCGAAGTTCTTCGGGGGGTGGAGCGGTGTTGGACGTCGATGGTGTTTTGACGGAGACGGAGATGGAGATGGAGACGAAGACGGGTAAGAAGGGGGGGGGGGGAGGTTACGCGGCTTTTGGTGGTACGCGGCTTTAGGGGTTGGGGGGTTGTTATGTCGTGCAATGTAAGGAAGGGGTGGTTGGGTGTTTTGGGTGTGTGGTGTGTTTAAGGGAAGAGGGAGGGTGAGATGGGGGTGGTGTAACGGGGTGGGATGTCAGATAATGACGGGGTGTGGGGGTGGCTGGGTTCTGGGTAGTTGTGTATGCAGGCATGCATGGGGGTTATGAGGATGTGATGGGTGGGTTTTTTGCTTGGGGGTTTTTTTTGGCGCCGAAGTGAATAGGTGGGTGCTCTCCTTAGTTAGGGTGTTTTGTGGATTGCTTGATCGATCGTGGAATTAGGTGAATAGTACAATTTGGGTGTACGAAAAAGAGAAAGAGATAGAGAGATAAGTCGGGCTCGGTACTTCTTTCCTCGCCCGCAGCAGTTTGAAATGATGACCTGTGTTACGGAGAAAAGTAAGCGGTATCCCTGCTCGCGGGTTCAGCCCGTTTTTTGCCTACTATACCTTGGGGGCGAGGATGGGAGGCCTGGTTGCGTCAGCTGTCTAGGGTAGAGAGCGTATGGTGTGGCGACTGGAAAACCGGTATTGGTGAAGGCGATGTGATGAACAGTCGAATTAGAGTCTGAGAGAAAAAAGTCTGACTTTTACATGACCAGCATGAAATTATGTTTTATAGCATTTGTGGCTTGCGAAGCTAGAAAATAGCTTTTTGGACGAATAGAAAGTAGAGTAAAGAGTAACAAAACTGCAGGGCTTGAGAATGAGAATTTGGGCATTGGCCTTTTTTAGATGCAATGAGATAGAGAGATATAATGATAGGAGCTGAGTACCAGATCAACCCTAACGATAAAGACATCAAGCTTCCAGAGATTGAATCTCAAACGAAAATGGCCATAGGTTGCGAGTATAGTAAATGATGAAACGGCCGAAATAAAAAAGACAAATGTTGGGTAGAAGTAACTGCCTATCTGGCCAAAGCAGGGGACCCAGCCTTGACCGCAACCCAGTGTCGGACTTGCAAAAACACGCGCAAGGCATGGATTGTGCTATCGATATTATCAGAAGATACCGATAATGCAGCCCTCACTGCATGTAGTGAGAAGCATTTTGCTGCCCAAATAGCTTTCTGCGAATCGTCTATTGATTCAAGACGCGCAGAAGCCCATGATGCCGAGGCGCCTATGAGGGTTACCCATAAAAAGACACCCGCTAGGTCATGGCCCCAGCAATTCTGTTTGTTTGTTCTCTCAAGCGTCTCATGGAGAGCTAATAACAGTGTGGCACTCTTCGCGTCGGATCTGGCAGTGGCTGGATGGACAATGCCTGCAGATTCTGCGAGGCTTATTCCATGGACCATTGATCGACAATAGATTAAGGCTGCGATGCGGCAGCTCTCGTAGATCCAATCCGGGGTGATGTCGCTCTCGGTAGACGGCAGTAAGAGAAGGCGTGAGTAGATGGACTGGAGCTGCGAGTCGCAGTTGGCTAATTGCCCACTTGAAATTGTGTGTCCGTCACCGGTATGATTCCATCGTGCAAGAAACATGTCTGTAAAATTTTGGATCTCCATGATGATTCCAGCTGTTCCCACGGAACAAACACGGTACAATTGTGAGGCATGTGTGATAGGAGGTGAAAGTGGCGAGATTAGGATACCATTTTCGGACAGTGTTTCAGATGGAGACCACGGCGTGAATTCTGCGGATTCAGGCTGGTTTCTTGCAATGGTAAAAGTCAACATTATCCTGCCCTGGTTAGCTGATAGCTTGCGTGAGTGTCAAGACTCGTACAGTGTCATGAACCTGGCAACGCCCGGATTCAGCCCGCCTCGATGGCTCCTCAAGCAAGTTGCCAGACCATCGCGGTGCACGCTGAAGACGCCATCATTGACACTCCCGATTTCACTGATAATGAGATGGAGTATGCAGATGATAGTAGCGTTATCCGTATCCAAGCGACTGCTAATTAGTCTGAGAATCTTGGTTTTGGCGAATACGGTGAGGCGGCTGTCGTACAGCAAGCCTTCGTCAATGTCATGGTAGACCAGGGTAGCATACACATGGCTGAGAAATGATAGGTGACTGTCGCAAACATAACGCATCCATGCTTGATCTGTAATAGTGAGCAACAGCCAGGCTTCTGTGCAATGACTCACCATGGCAAAACAGAACGGTATTGCGGATCCACTCGCGCTTCAGATCGTCTAGAGACTTATTTTGAAAGGTGTTGCTTCTCGGAAATGGGTACTCTGAAGCCTCCTCACAGGCTGGAGGTGCGCTGTGGGTAGATGTCGGGGTTGCCATTGATAGAATTCGCGCAGCCAGACTTCGTAGAGAATCGGTTGGAGATGACGGCGGGTAAGCATCAAAAGAATGCAGACTCAACGCAGATTCATAGCCTCTAGTATATGCAGGAGCCACAGGTGCAGTGGTAGGTAGTGTTCCAAAGGAGTCTGTTGTGGCCGGGCTCGGGGTTCGTGTCAAAGCACTTGGTCCATTGCTACCTTCGCGGCTTCTGGCCAGAGTCGCAGGCGATGATGCTCGAGTCTCTTGGTGTTTGTACATGACATGTGATCGTACGTTTCTCAGGACTGTCGTAGCCCGGAAATTGTCTGGATGGGTTGCAACGATGAATTGAAGTGCAGGACCCTGTGCGAGCGGTGGGAGGCGGTGTCGGCCTGTTCGTCTTTTTGATGGCTTTGGATCTTTGGACGCCATGTTCAAAGGTAGAGGATGTCCAAGATGTGCGTTGCTGTAATGAATCCAAACAAGTAGACGATGATGCTTCGTCTTTCGGGCCTTTCCAATAAGTGACAGAGGGCTGAATGTTCAAAGGCAGGAACAATTGACCATTGACGTGAGATGCAGGTACCCTTTGGGATACTACAACGTGCTATTAGCCTTCTTGGGTGCTGTGAGCCTCAGCCACAAGGAAAAGATAGCGGTGGACATCTGACAGGGTCTAGGTTGGCTGCGTCACTACGGTATTGGAGTAAAAGCATGTTCAAGGGAGGCCTCAACTCAAAACGAACCGGTGACTACAATTCACAACATGGCAAGGAGGATACAAGGCGTACACTGTTCCTCCGGTTCGTCATCTTAGAATATGTATCGCGCACGCCGGTTCATAATTCTGGCGCAGCACACACACTGAGCAGATGACATTCAGTATAGCCCGAGTATATACTGTTTGAGGCATTGGCTACGGTGAACCCCGCCGTCGGTCCCGAGAAGCATGCCGATACGCGTCTCTATACTCCCGATCCGCACCCGAAAGATGTCGGAGAAGAATCGTTCCCGGCCTAGTGTGTGGCTGGGCCACAACAGCTCACCATCGGCAGCCCGACACCGAGAGAACCGGGCCAAACGCGACAGTACAGACCGCCATCCATAGTCCTTGATGATGCCAAGCATATTCATGGAACTTGTACTTTCGAGCCTGATGGCTTTGTGGATAAGTTCTCGTATGTCTACATGTCCCGTTCGAGCTCGGCTGGCATGGCATGGGTTGGTCAGATCTTACCCGCATCTTTTCCTCCAATTCAAAGGTCCAGAATCTAAGTTGGCTGTGGGAACCAAGATCAGCATGCTGGTGGTCAATCAACCCATTTACCTGTTTCAGTGTTAGCGCGCGGGCATACCCTGGATGCTGCATATAAGCCGCAGGCCCACGCAGTGAGCAATGGATCAGTACATCCTTATTAGATCGGTAACAGCCCTAAGAACGCCTTGAGTGCTCCTTTGGCCTATGGTAAATTGAGGGCACAGCGTCTGCAGCCAACCGCGTAGGGCGCCTCTCTGGAAAGATTATAGAAAGTCCAAAGACTGATGCGTCGGGCTACATTGCCCGGTAACCAATTGAGCTTTCTGTATAACAAGGCAGTGGCTCTATCGCAGCAATGGCTAGCATGTAGCTTGTAGCTTGCTACATCAGCCACAACGTGGGCTCACGTAACGTGGCTGTATACATGCGACGACATGACGGAAGGTTTACCTAGAAGAGCAAATTGAAGCTTCGTGCCATTTCCTTGGTTAAAGTGCCACACGGCGAAGTCACTGTCGTTGTCCTAAAAATATTTCGCTCGGAAGGGCCGTTTGGCTGTGTTGGTGGGTTACGAGAACTGCAAGAAAGGGAAAAAAACATGCTCCCCGGAAAAACGACAGGCTAATGTTGCACTGGCCGCGCATGAAGAAAGCAACAGGCAAAAAAGTGGCAGGCTCCTTGTCAA